TTTTTTTATGTGTGTCTTTTACATTACCACTACAATACTTAAAGATACAATAGGGCTGAAAGCCAGCGCCCCTTCCCTGTTAAATACTTCTAGATTATTTAACTTAGATTTTTCCTACATATTGAACAATGAAGCAGTATGTGCAGGGGATGTGGTTGTTGTCATTGTCATCACATCTTACTGTGGCAATATAGACACTCGTAATTGGATAAGAGAAGCATTAAATGGAGACGACTTTGTAAGACTCAATATTAGAAAAATATTTCTGCTTGGAAAAGCTCCAGATAACAATTACATATTGCAGACTTCTGTTACAAAAGAATACAATAAATTTAAAGATACAGTGCAAGGCAATTTTTTGGAAGCATATAGAAATTTAACATACAAGCATGTAATGGGGCTAAAATGGGTGAATGAGTTTTGTTCCAATGCACAATATGTGATTAAAATGGACGATGATATAGTTTTCAATATTGAGAGGTTGAAAGAGTTGTTAAATTCTGTAAAAGAAGTTTCTAAATCGGAGTTCATTGCTGGTTATGTTTTAAATCATTATCAACCAATAAGAGAAGTTGGTAACAAGTGGTATGTAAGTAGACAAGAATATATAATGGATTACTATCCCAAATTTGTTTCTGGGTGGTTTTATATAACAAATCCCCAAACTGTTAGTAAAATTATCTCTCTCACATATACAATTAAATATTTTTGGATAGATGATATTTACATTACAGGGATTATTGCTAGTACTCTTAAAATCAAGAGGTTTGATATTAGTCAATATTTTACACCACATTCTGAATTTCTATACTGCTGCATGGAAGATGTTAAAAACAAAGTAGGTTGCGATTTTATTATAGGCCCTAATGGAGGCAATGAAATTTTGATTTTTACATTTAACAAGAAGATGAAGCTATGCAAAGGCAATTGCCAAAGGAGAAGAAAGTCCTTCAACAAAACCTGTGTTGTCAACAAACATGTTTATTTGGAAAATGGGAAAGCAAAAGTAAAAACATATAACCTGAAATGAATAACCTAGAATAATGAAAGGTATGTACGGAGGTCTAAAATAAGGTGTGAAAATGTTAAACGCACTAACTCCAATTAACTTTGCTGAAAAATAACTTGAGGAAATGAAGAATACACAACATATTATTGAAGCCGGAAGTTATGAGAAACCAGTTTACTAACTGCTCTTAGATAAAAATCAAATCTTATCTAACATAAGATTTGCATAAGTTTGCTCAATAAATTTTGTTAATAATGTTTATTATTTTATTGATGTCTATTACCCAGAATTTGTTTTCATGTGTATTGTGCCAATAACAAAAAAGGTACAAATAATTGTTGTACACATAAGTATGTGTCAGTCTTACATAAGTAAATGCATTTTCAATTACATATAGTCGATTATAATGTAATAGGTAAAAGTTTACCCTTAACTTTCTACCATACATGAATCTTTTACAATCAATAGCAGTAAATCTCCAAAGCTTGAACTTAAAATGTATAATGTTTCTAGCAGAGATATGTGGTCATTATTCCCTAACCTTAAAAATTATAAATTTGAATAAGGTTCGTGTTTGTATTTTACAACCCAAACGTGGTCTATAATTTCTCCAAGTTTGTCGTCGGAAACCTAAAATAAAAATAAGGTAAACTGTTTGGCATAAATAGCCGCAAATTTGACTTACCTGTTCCCAATATAAATGTGTAGAGTTGTAAATTTTAAGTCTTGTATAACCATAATCTCTGCTTATAAAAGCAGACCAAATGGGTCTTGTGTCATTAAAGTTTTCTCTTCCCTCTTTGCAACCTGCAGAACCTGTTGTAAAATGAATAGGAGCCTTTGGATTAACATAAGGTTGTTCAAAACTGCCATTATAGACCTATAGTTTTACATATAAATTAATAGTATTACTATAATGCTAACGTTATTATAACTTACAGTATAATTGTAGATAGGCCATAATCTTTCATAAGAATGTTCATGTGCCCAAATTTCTAAGTCGACACCATAATTGTAAAACAATTTTTCTAAACCAAACCAACGGAGAAATGGTAATCCAATTCTAGTAAATGTGGCATGATTAGTACAATCATCAGTGTTTGAATTGCTGCAATACATTGGACGATGGCCTACCACAATGATCCATGGATGCTTTTTCCTAGAATTTTTAATATCAACATGTCCAATGCAAATTCTTATGCTTGTACCGATTTTCTGGTAAATTTGCTCGAATTAAATCTTCTTCAAGCCATTCATACTGAAAAACTAGAGGCTTTATTCCGTAATTTAAGAAATAATATACTTCGGTTGATATAGAAATAATATGTGCAGGGCCTATATCTATACTAAACATAAGAGATGCTGGTGATTCATGCATAGTAAACCTTTCACGATAATTACTAAAATTGCTAAAAAGACACAAATGAGCGATCTGGTAGATATTAAGTTAAATACATACTAAGCTTCTTCATGATTTCCCGGACATGTCATATAAGGCAAATATCCCGCTATGCTCTCTATTTGCCTCATAAATTCATCTCCAACTTCAGCATTATTCTGAAAAGGTTTTTTTTAGTAACGTAATTAAAAAATTTCAAAATGATTCTCCTTCCAACAATATTACAATAATACAATTTTATTAAATGATGAAAGCAAATCAATCATCAATTATTTATTTAATTTGAAGACAGTTTTACTTACACTATCCATATCATATGCAAAATCTCCAATATGCAAAACAGCATCATACAGTCCCCTCTGGGTCTCTTCCTGTAATCTTGCCAAAGATTGGGCGTTTTCATTACCCATATCCCCATAAATTACCAAATTTGGAGACCATTGATCATCTTCGGGTGGTGTTTTAAACCAAAAAGTGTTTGACCAACCTTTCTCACTTCCACAATGATATACTATAAAACTTGAAAACTAAATTGAACCATTAAAAATGACACAAAACTTACAATATTTGCTATTACTAGATAAATTATCCAGCAATACTCTGTGTATGTACTGTGTATGTTTTGAATATCCACCATCTACAAATATTTTGGAAGAACCATTTACTTTTAAAACAAGACCATCAATGCCATATTCGACAATTGACTCCGTATTATTAAAAGTAGACCATGTTACTACAATCTGTTTTGTAGTTCGTCCGTATGAGATATGTATTTGTTCCGGTTGAAAATAGAGAACTTGACTAAATGTGTAATGCAGTTGCACAAGAAAAAAGGTTGTAACAATTAAAGTACTGTACGAACCCATGGCAAAATCGAATTAAAACCGAGATTTTCTCGAGTTGTTAATCGTCTTCAAATCTGTATAAAAATATTTTAAATAACGAAAATAAGCACCCATGGTAATATTCGGATTAGGTCAAGCTAGGTCAGTTCGGAATAATATTGATAATAAAGTCGAAAACAATTTTCATAAAATAATAGATAAGAGCAATTAATTGCTTAAGAGTTTATTTTTCGACTCATAACCTATAAACTTTATGGTTCTCCTCTTTTACTTCTATTGACCATATTTACTAAGATAATTGGGTCACATCATTACATTAATACCAAAATCAGGATTGTATTGGTTATAATAATGCAATGCCCATAAAACTTTTTCTAAAACCATAGTCCCACCAGGGATTTATTTCCGACATGCAGGTAGCATGGCAGTGACGTCCGGTGATGAAATAATTGTTGTTATGATAACTTTTACAACAAACATTTCAGCTGAAAGGGAAATTTTCATTATGGCGTCTATGTCATTTTGGGAAACATACAGACGAATTGAAGAAGAGCATTGCACGCGGCAGTTTAACCTCCGTTCGCTCCTAGCAGAATCCGTTATATTCGTCCCAAAAACCTTGGTATCGGTCTTTTTTCGTATGACTCTGTTTCGACAGTGTTTGGTGTTCGTTTTTAAGTGTTTAAGTTCTGCCGGCGTAGCTGTTAACCGTTCACGCCGGTAGGGGTCCCGATGGTCCGTAGTATTAGCGGAAGCGGGGGTATGGCGGTTTTTTTGGTATCGGTCATTGATTTTTTGTTAGCTGAGCAAATATTGATTATATTTCTTCTTTGCACGTGTTGGTCTCTGACCAAAAGCGAAAATCCTCAACGGAAGTCGGCAATGGGCAAATGATCCTAGCAGTCTCTCCCAATAGTAATTATAAATGTATCAATTTACTTGTACTGTATACATTATTTCAAGGTGCCAAATTTTATATGAGTCCCTCATTGCTGCCAATATTGTTGCATCTATTAGTGGTCATTCAGTTCTTTTCTATCTTAACTCCTTTTTGCCTAAAAATTTAATAAGATCTGGACATATTTTGCTGCAATAAAAATCCCGTATCCAAAATTATTGACGATCTGCCGACGGCCATGATTATTATTGAATGGTCATTGGTTACTTTTTAGTTAGTTGGGTTCTTTCTTTCTTCTTTACTTCTAATGGCCACCACTGCATAAGGTCATTCGGCCAGCTTACACAATTTTTCACATTATTCAGTTATCCTAAAGAATGCCTTCTTAAGAGAAGGGTCTGGACCAATCCATCATCCTCCAGGTTTTTGTTTTTTACTTATACAAAAACGGAAACTTCTAAATAAATTGTCATAAATTGACGACCGATTCTTCAAACGGCTCCAGCAATTAACTTGTATGGGTTATTCGATCCCATCCGGCCTGGTTACCAGCGTGAAATAGGACATTCGGAAACCGTATTTACATACACCCCGCGGAATTACACATCACAAATCCGTGTACATCCACGTAAGACGAACACTATTTCCCAAACTTATACGCACTACATCTCTATCACTTCCGATAACGAATGAATATAAGTAACAATATTTTCTTTAAACGACACTAATTTCGACCGATTTCTATAAATTTTTTGGCACCGGGCAAGAGCAACGTCCGCCATGTGCAATGGTTCCATCGAAAGTAACTACTTTCGATGGAACTACTAACTAGTTGGGTTAGATCTTAAATTTCGTACGCATGTTGAATGAACCTTCTCAACAATTTTTGCATAGGAAAATTCATCGCGTATGTCTGTTATCTGCGAACAATCATTCTGGCCAAACTGTTTGTGCAACGCGCGAAGAAGAATTTAGAAAAAGATCTTTGGAGTTTGGAGGCTTATTCTCTGTTTTATAAGAAGGGCGCGAGGCCATTTAGGAATATAATACCATAACATTTTTTTATAAATATTCATATGCAATTCTGTTTGTTATGGACGACTAGTTTGGCTTGATATGGTAAATACATGATATATTTTGTATCTTTAGAGAAGTGTACGTGTAGTTGCGTACTTATAAATTTGGGTTATGTTTCGAATTTGGCTTGTTTCAGGAGGATGTCACCAAATTGACCAAGGAGGAATTTCTGAAGTTTTTAAACTGTCCCCAGTCCTCTTCACAACCCATAAGCTTCACAATTTTTGGACCCAACAATCAATTAATAAATCTTACAAAGCAAGGTGGTTTATATAAAGCTTGTGGTATTGAATTAGAAGAAAACACAATTAATAATATAGTACTGAGAATTCCTTTGCCAAAAATAAATTTTACAGGTAATATGCTTTGTACTAATTAGTTTAAATCCACTATTTCATTTGAAACCACATTTTTAGGCCTATCTTTGAAAGAATTAGCGGGACAATTTGAAACTCAATTGGCCATAACAAAAAGGAAAAAGCATAATGCTGTAGTATCACAATTTAGTAGAAACTTGAACAAAAAAAAAATTGCTTTGGCAAATCCAACTGGTAAAAACAAACTAAAAAGCAGTATAATGGATACATCTCATAAAGAAATGAAGGGTGATTCAAAAGATCACCAAAATTTTATACTACATAGTCTATTATCAAACAAACCAACTTATTATTTGAGTTTCCCTCGGGTTAAGCATCCAGAAGATGGAAGATTAAATTATGCCTTTGAGACCCTTGTAAAAGACATTAAGAATATGAAACTTCCATCAGCTTCATGGAAAATTAAAGTCATTGTAAGAAATAATAAAATCTCTGCAATAATTTTTACAAATAAGTGTGTTTTGGAACGGACTGTCACTTTTAGTGCTAAAAGTGAACTGTTTGAAATTGTTATTGAAAACAAACCTGCTATATTATTAGGTTGCCCACCAACTGTTGAGTGTATCAATGATATTGAAGTGCTTTTAAATATTATTCATACTATTAGTGCTAACAATCCAATGGTATTTTATAAGTAGTAAATTATTATGTTAAATGTAAGAATTTTGAATAATCTGTAAGTGTAATTTCCAATAAAAATTATGTATTCTTTGTTGTGGTCCTGGCAATTGATATCTCCTAAAATAATTAAAAGGAAAATATTTAAAGGTATTAAGCCGGATATTGCTACTTGATTACTACTATTAATTTGTTGAAACAATTTTAAAAGTTTTCTAGTGGTAAGAGAAAATACATTAATAAAATAAACAAAATTTATGATCCAGATTATAAAAAACAATTTACAATTTTACCATAATAAATGTGCAAATACATGAATAATTATTTAAATTTAATTTATGTACATCTTAATTTGAAAATATATAATGAAATAGATTACTTTAAACAAATACACATTACTTATTTACAGGTTTTATGGGATAACAATTAAGAAAAAAATTGCATTGGTTCAAAGTCCCTGGATCAAGGATCACTGTTTGACCTTAATCCTTTGAGATTCCGAATGTTCCATTTTAGGGACAGACTGTTGTAAGTTAATTTTATTCAAGAAACCGTGAATTTGAGCTCTGTATTCTTCAGGATACTTCTTGAAGTGTCCAACATGGGGAGATTTTTCAAACAATTTCCAGTAAACCTAAAATATATAGAATTTCATACATTGCATTCACAGAATTATAAACAATATCCTTCACAACTGTGATCAATCTAAAAATTAAAACAACATTTTTTGAGGTACCTTTATCCCCATGCTTTCCCAGTTTTCCTTTACTCTCTTGTTGGAAATTTCAGTTCCAATAGGATCTGTTTCACTAAGCAAAAATAATGCCGGAGCTTTTACCAAGTTCGTATGGAACATTTGACTTGATCTTATATAATGCCTCGTTGCAACCTTGTCAAATGTTTGCATATGATATCTATACAAAAAGAAAAATTTAATAAATATTCAAAATATAAATTTGACCATGGTAGCATTCATAACATACACTGGAGAATCTTTGATGTCTACAGTATCTACACACTTCTGATGGAACATTAGACGTTGAATGAAATTTTTAGTTTTTCTGTCTAGGAAGACAATCTTATTAGAAAAAAAACTATAATATTTTAAATGTCTTTGAGCTTACTACAATGAAACTTCATCAATTCTCACAGACCGTTTGACCCCTATATGATCAAAGAATGTATAGAAAAGTTGTGATACGATTTTTATATATACCTAGGCACTATGTACAATGAACTTTAAAATAAATTCTCCTCAAAAATAAAATCAGAATTAAATTTAACGTAAAAAGTCTTATTTTTGATCTACAGAATAAGTATAAAATTTGGGGTAAGTTATAAAAAAAATCATATATTTCTTTTAACTATTTTTTCTACTTATCCGTGAACCTTGGCGAGAAAATTCGGATGGCCCATTTTCACCTAAAGTTGAAAATATTGGAAAATTTGGTTGTACACTAATGACTAATAGGCGAAGGAAAAACTTACAATATATATTGACCCAAAGCGTTGGCCATCAATTTATTCCTGGGAAAAACTGCTGGTGGTACTCCTTTGTGTATTTCAGTAACATCAGCAGCACTGTCCCAAATTTGGCCCGCTATTCGGTCAAGAATGCGTTTATACTGGTGCTGTTTGTGGGCCATTTTTACCATTACCTCGCCCCATAGGTATCCGCCGACCGAAAAACCGTGCAAAATTATTGGGTTAAGAGTTTGGTTCTTATCCAGGAACTTTAAAATATCGGATGCAACAACCTGGGTTCCTTTTACGGGCCACAAAAACTGCCAAGGATTAACGCTGACGTTTAAAACGTCAAAACCTTTTTCGATATATATCTCGGCATATTTGTAGGTATGTTTCTTTTTCGCCATCAGCCATGAAAGCAAAACTACCAGAGGCTTGTCGTCAACGTTTTCTAATTTAAAATCGGTGACTTTAGTGTTTTTCTTTTCATTTGACAACAATGACATATTTTTCGATACTTCTAGGCAAGATATATTTCTAACTGGAATAATCATAAAACCCTAAAAACCATTAAGCAATTATTTCGTTTAGTTGCATTTACTACTTCTATTTCATTTAAAACCGAGTTGGCTGCTACAATATAATTTGCAAGGTCGAGTGGAAGAAGTTTGTTTTTCTGCCTTAAAATTGAAATTTAACCGAGTTCTATATGTGTGATTTTTTATCGTCGACACACTATATACCTAGTACGCATTCACCCAACATTAACAAGATGTTCTATGACGCAGGTGATTGACGACATTTCGATCGTGTGCGACAAAAAATGTCTTCTTTATCTACACAATATGTACAGACTGTCGTCTCAATTTAGATGGATACCAGCCAGAGTATATATTATCAATATTGAGAGCTGTTGTACTGGTTTTAATTTTAAGAGAAAATGGCAGGTTGATAGGAAAAATTCAAATCCCATTAAAATGTACGCCTATATATAAATTTTGTTCTCGTGTAACGCGACCTACCTTCAGCAAATTATACAATAAAAAGTATTGGCTCTACTTTATTTTTTGTTTTCCTTTAAATTATATTTTATCAATTAAATAATCGTAATGTCTATTTTATAATTTCTTATTTTTTACTACTTTCCTGGACAAAAAAAAATTATTAGGTAAAGCATTTTACAATGAAAGTTTAGATAATTATATCTGCTTTTTTAGATAACATTTTTATCAGCTGATGCGTTACGTTGCTCAAGGGTCTGGTCGAGCTCTAGTTTTATTACGTTGCAGATGCAATTTTTTAATTTGTTGCCGTCAAAATTCAAAAATGCCACCAGAATAAAGACGGTACTCAAAAGAGAGTTACTACAATTTTTCTTTTTTCAAAATATATGTTTTAATCATTTCCATCACTACGGGCATGGTATTGCAAAAATAGACATTAGAGACTAAAATAATAGCTCTTCAAAAAATGGTTGTTTTATTTAAGATAACTAGGCCAGTAACACAAGCTACTACAGTTATCAGCATATATGTAACTTTTTTTATAACAACTTCACAGTAATTTTCATTGTAGTATCAAATTTATTAGTATTTGTAGTTACAGAAACATTACCTTCTAGAATTGTATGGTTTGTGTGACAGGTCCCTACTGTAGTCCGTTTTTATTGCATGCATGAGAAGTTACCAAGTGAGAAACATTAAAGATTTTTTTATATTTGGCAAATGGCGGGTTTTAAGGTGTAAGGTGTTTTAAATGAATATTTGCAATTTTGAATCATGTTTAATCTGATTTAATCTGACTTTTTAGGTACTGGCATATTCTTTAATATTTCAGAAAACCTTCAATAAAGATTTTTCGGCAGCTATTTTATAGTTTAGGAATAAGGCGCATTTAAACTTACCAACAGAATTTTTGGAGACCTCTTCATATGTTCTCGATTCAAATTTTGTAGCTTATTTTTAAGAAAAAGACATGTCTTTGCGAAAGCCATTTCCAAAGATTAGGAAAACTATAAACAAAACAAGTAGATAATATCGTCGGTAAATATCTTACAAAGTTATAATATAACGAATGTCCTATCCTATTTGCTAACTGATTATAGAACAAATGAGTCGTTTTTATATCTAGCTGATGAACGACATCATTAAAACGTTCAAATTATTAAGGTTTTTGTAATAAGTAGGTGCCAAAGTACAATTTCGATAAAAGTAATCATTTTTAAACCTAATCTAAAAGCAATGTTTTTTATATTTTATATAATATAATAACATATAAAAATACCTTGGACTTCTCAGTTCAATATACGTTTTCATTAAATAAGGTATCGAATATATTATATTATCATATATTTTACATTATTATAAGCTAACTTTTAATACCTTATTATTGTGTTCGACTCGCACAGCGCTCGGTGTTTCACAGATCTTTTACAAAGTTTATTGCCAAAATTGTAGGTTAGAGTCCGGATATTTCAGATATTTTCCCAATTTTTACATAACCGAGATATGAGAAAATTGAAGTAATTTTTTGGTTATAAAAAAAATTCTGTTTATTTTATAGTTTATTATATAGTTTTATTTTTTTACAAACATTCTGATTCAAACTTTTTGAGTTTCATCTTCCGCATTTACGTCATCAAATTTAAATTTCAGTTAAGTTACTTAAAGCGCCATATTTTGCACTTTTGAGGCGTTATTTTTTCAAAGTAGGCTCCAACGATCTTGTTTGAAATTATTATTTTAGGACCATGATATGACCCTCTCTGACATTTTTATACATAAACACTTCATAACTACTGAAATGTTATTTTAATATTAAAATAAATGAAGTCTAAAAAAAAGTTTCAACTATTTATGGCGAACGGCGAAGGACGATATACACACGATATAGTTTGGAATAAATAAGATTATATATAAGATATTGCTCAAGAAACATATCCGACAAATATTTTACACATTTTACATTAAATTTTTGATTAATTGAATGTAAGGGATATTATTTTAATATAAGGGATATAATAGCTTTGTTCCAAGCACAGTGAGAAACCGGTTTGGAATTGTAAATTCTTGTCACTCAACTAATTTTTTGATACGATGAATGTTTCTTAACTGACAAAAATAATTTGAGTGACAAGTTTACAGTTTCAACCCGGTTTCTGACTGCGCTTGGAACAAAGCTATTATATACATATCGTAATTTACAACAACGGCATTGTACCCAGTGCGGACTTTAAACGTTTGAAAAACATACAAAATAATCGCCATTTAAGGTATTTTATACAGTTGTAAATAAAAATTTTATTGTATTAAATTATTTAAATCTCGCTCTATACCGAAAAGAACCTACCTTGCGAATCGAAATAAACTGAAGTTTATTATTTAAATTAACACACGCATGGATCAGACAATTCCAAATACACACACAATCGATGATTTTTTTACTTAATTAACTCCGTGTATCCAACTACCAGCAGCCGAGTAACCAATAAAGCGAATTAATGATGTTCAATAAAAAGTAATGAATATAATATACTCATTCTAACTTGGACTGTCAGACAGACACTCAGAAATCACGTGATATTTACGCTGTCAAGGTCAGACATCCGGAAACAGAGGGAGCCATAGATAACGGAATTGGTATGGGTAAACGACCCTTCCATAGAAAATAATCCAGAATTCAAAACTTAAAATATAACATCATTAAAGGTGACCAAGATGACTGGAAACTGAGAATAGCTTACATATGTGAATAATTTAGCGATATTTTTATATAAATTCCCCAATAATCCTTTGAATAGCGGAAGTCCACTTTTTGGGTTTAACGAAACTTCTCTGTAACCTCCCAAAATATATTATGCAAAAAAAAGCAAACATTTACATGATGCACGAAGGCAAATCATCTGTCTAATACTTGTAGTTATTTGTAGTAATTATAATTGAACATTATATTTTATATTCCATGATCCCCTCATAACCCTAACCCCAAGTTTCCTTTTGTTAGGTTAGCAATTTATTTATGTTTGTTTTTAGTTTAGATGTTAAGAATGACTTCGTGGTATAGCTTTCTGATTTATATTTAACATGTCAATTTTTAACACTTCGTTGGTTCTAAAGCAAGGTTACATGGTCAAACGGTCTCAAAATAAAAAACTGTATACATTAGTGAACTTCAAAAAACGTTGGTTTGTGCTTACTCGAAAATACCTTATTTATTATGATGATGAAAATGAATCGGTAAGTAGATGTACATGCCGATTATGATATGAAATATGTATCAATGAAGTAATGGTTCCAATTAGCATTTTAAGTTAAGTTTTTTTTCGTTAGTATATAGAAAAATAGTAAGAACTTTTATGAGATGTTTTTTTTAATTTATACTTTATTTTTTTATCTTTGAATGCGCCACAAAACAAAATCATTTACCCTGTCATTAATTGAGTTTTATCTGACCAAAATACCCCCTTTTGCCCTGTCCACATAGGATCCGCTTATATTGAGCAAAAACATTCAGTTTGACGCCAAATTTTAAAACTTTTAATAATCACAAGATGCCTTGCAAATACTTTATAGATTGGTTTTTGGTCGTTTTCCCACCAGTGAGGAAAATAAAGTATTACGTCTTTAACATTGGGGGTTTGGAGTATATGTTAAATTAAACAAAGTCGATATTTGTTTACTTGAAAATTATACCAACAAAACGACATAATATTTTTGAGATAAGTATAATTTAGATTCCGCGCGACTAGTTATTAGTTAGGCTGTAATGGAAGTATAGTTGGTTGCCTAATCAATGAGTTGTCTATTTGGGAGCCCCAGGTGGAATTACACTGCCTGCAGATATTTTATTAATAATAATGGAACTTTCAGTTGCCCATTTTATATGCCACATCAAGGTTCAAATGATTGAGAATTATTATCGTCGTTCAAAATTTTAATTTTACAAAAAAAAATGTGCTTTTAAAAGCGGGTCAAATTAACATGAAAGTGTGATACAGGGTGATTCGATTTAAACACATTTGGTGGGGTTATCTGGGTTATTAACAAGATGCGTAAAGACACGTATCGTATGTTATTTATGGTAACAGCGCAACAACATTAAAATTGTTATAAGTGGCGTCCTAGTTTTATCTTAAAGAAACTTGAAGATTTATTTTAATTTAAATGTTAGAATTGGTTCCATAATTGGACTGCGTAAAACTGAATTTTTGTATTTTTTTTTTTAATTTTTGAAATTATTCCAAATATTTCCAGCAACATTTAAGGAATCAAATCTCGTAATGCGCATATGCAAACAAAACTAAAGAGCATTCGCGCAGAACAATGTTTGTAAGATTTAATTTGAAAGTGTTAAATGTTAAACTTATTTGATCCAACAATTTGACAATTTAAATTTTTGCAAAATCACTGAGTCATAGTTATTTTTAGAGCTTTAGAACCCGAAGTTGAAAGAGTGAATTTTGTGTGTATAAGGGTGATTTGAGCTGTGAGGTGTATGTATGACTGTGTCCGTGTGTGAAGGTTTATGATATATTGAAAAATCTAATTTGTTTTGTGCTTTCGTAATAGTTAAGTCTAAAAAATTAATAGAGATTATGTAATGAATTAATGTAATTTAAAAAAGAATTCAATTGTCTGTCCTTTCCAACAAAGCAAGCCAAGACACCATCCACGTATCTATACCACCATAAAAAAACTTTGACTTAAAGGATGTTCTAGTATGACATTTTCCAAATTATCCATAAAAATCTCGGCTAACAAAGGACTAAGTGGGTTTCCCATAATCAAACCTTCTTTAGAGATGTAAATCATTAAATTCAAAATAATTTTGGTTTAAAGATAAGCAATCTAATAAATCTTGTTTCACCAATGGGTTAACCTGTTTCCGAGTTAGGGTGAAATCTACTAAATCTATCACACCCATAGATGGAATACTGGGAAATAAGTTTGATTCCTTTTCTTTAATGGTACCAAAGTGAAACGCATATTTCAAAAATGAAAAGAATATATAGGGTGGGTTATCAAAAACAGCGAACTAGATGCGCAATTTTCTTCCAAACCTGGAAAATTTCTGCATTACGTTACTGAGCGCAGCCATGATGCAAGAATTATTTTACAAATTTTTAGAGATAGGTATAGCAATATCTGGATAAAATCGGCTTTATTTTTTGTACAGACGGTAAAACCGAAATATAGCAGCTGCCTTTTAAATCCGGTAAGATATTATGCCACTTGAATGTAGAAGTGGCAACATTGGGCGCTTCAAAATATCTTATAAGTATATATATCAATTCCGCGGCCAATATAATTTTAAATAAACGATGTGCATAATGAATGTTTTTTACTATATTGCACTTTTCTCATAGGTGTAGTTTGAATTAAATGTTTAAATCTACGCTACTGGTTAGATTAAATTTAATCTAAACTGAATTAGAGTCAATTGGCAACACCGCGAAAAGTGCGTATTGGCTTTTATGGGGGAGGCGAGTATACAAGAGTTCTTCTCAAAGGGGCGAGAGTGTCTGCGCATAGAAACTGGGTGGGACTTTAGTCGATTTTCTAACAGCTGGGGTATTTTTGTGACGCTATTCTCCCACGAGTTGGTAAATGGAATAAATAATTATAATTGGTATGTTGCGTTGCTCAATTGCTAATGTGATCGTTATGCCTTTAGAATTTTAGTGCATGAATTTTGAAGAGATGTGAATATTTCTAGTGACACTTTAAAAACTTTGTAAATAATGAGTTTAAGTTTAATTGGAACGCAATCTTATTCGAGTATAACATACGGCATTACCTTAATAATCACCTCCGGTCATTATTAATTAATTTTGAACATGCAAATTCATACTATATATAGTGGAATTACTTTGCGTACAAATTGAGAGCACAGACGACATAAGCATTCCATATTGGGCGTCAGAGGCTCGTTTTTAGATAGTTTAAAACTCTAGGAGAAAGTGCTTTTTTTTGATAAATTAATTAGTTTGGTAATAGAAATATATTTATCTCGTCGCAATAAATATCAATTATAATTAATTTGTAATTGATTTAACATACCAACTTTAATAAAAAGATTCTGTTTTTTATTATCTTTTTGCTAAAAAATAAATTGATAAGATTTTATTACTTCCATTGATTTACCCAAAGTCTGTTTCAGACAGGTTTGCTTAGCGGTAAATCTTCCCATAAACTTCTAGTGTCCACGCTCATAAAGGAACACAGCTACGGATTTTTGATTTGAACAAAAATTAATAGTTACAAAAAACTTAAAAGCTATAATTATATTTATTTGAATAAAATATTTAATATATAATATGTTTATTCTATTCTATTCCTAAATTTATTATAATTGTTTTGGTTAGTTTGTTTTATAAAATTATTAATATCCAACTTCATAAGTGACAGACTTTTTCTCGGCCTCCGAGGGACTACAGGAATATATTGTTTACAATTTTTGTAATAAAGTTTATTATAGAAGTACTTTTACTACTACTAATACTAGCCGAAAAACTGAAAGACTAGATGAGTTTCTTTATAATAATTTGCGAATAGTCATATGCTTATTGGTCAGAATATAGATTACTTTCTCTCTGACCATGTTCAGACAAAACTATTCCAGTGAGTCAAGATGATCAATATCCCATCATTTTCAGGAGAGAAGATAGTTTTAACTTTAGAGAAACTAAATCCATGTAATATTAACCAAATTCCAAAAATATTTTGCATCTGTGTTTTGTTAGGACGCTTTCACACCTTTCCTTCGTATTTCTTTAATACTTTCCCTATACATCTAGGCGCCTTCTAAGACAGGAACTTTTTTTTTCAAAATGGTAATAAATTCTTTCGCATTTTAATTTATGGAAAAGGTAACACTCCTAAAATTTGCTCATTTTTAACAAAACTTATTTCATTAGCATTAACAGCAAAATTCTGCTTAGTTTCGTCAATGCTTTTTAGTCCCAATAAATTCTACCTCACTATTGAAGTGTTTCTCTTTCCCCCTTTAGAATTAACTAAAAAGTTTTTAACCGAAAGAGGCGTTGCTCTTCTGGGGAAAATTAAGTGATACTACTAAGACATAAATGTTGGTCACTATTCTCTTCGACATTGCTTTTACTACTACTAGATGGAAGTGTCTTTTTGATTCTAGAACCATTATTTTTAGAGCCCTGCTTTCTTTTTACTGTTCCATTATTTGTCTATTTTTTAGTCTGAATTGTAGTCTTCTGTGAATTTTTTTCTTGTGCTGACTCAGGATTGAATTGTAGGCACATTTTCTTTTTTCATTGGAGAAAAACAGTTTTTTTCTGATATATCCTGCAGTAGAATTATATCTCTGGCATGGTTTGCCTCGCATTATTCCTACATTTTTGCAGATACTCGGGTTTTCTTAACGATAACACAGCTTGATGGCGCTTTATAAAGGCTGGTATCAATCATTTTCTGGACGGTCATAGTGAAAGGAGTTGATATATTTTGAGCCCTAACATATTCTTGGATAAGATTAAATAACTCATCCCTATCGCATCATCATCAACTATTTTATTTTCAGTGTCTTGATTTAAATCTCCCATGCAATCTTTGCGAAA